GGGCTTTTTCTTCAATAACTTCTTCATTTCCTCCTGCACCCATCTCTGAGGTCTCTTGGGTGAAACCGTGTAGGTTATTCAAAAATCACTTTTAACTTAAAGCACATTTCCATGGAAAAACATGAGTTTAGATGCCAGAGAAATCCGAACATTGTCTCCACTCCATCACTTATTTTGTGTTTGGAGACCTGCTTAACCTCCAGTCCTGCATTTCCCTAGCTGGGCCGACACTTCTGAGGTTGCTGGGCATAAGAACTCAGTAGCTGGTACAGAGCAACCATATAAAGGATTTTAGTTATCACATACTCAGTAAATAAATATGCTTCAGGCTTTTTAATTGCTACTTAATATAGATCTTTATCTTCACAATCAATATAAATAAGACCAAAGATAGAGAAATAGAGTGAAACAGGAAAATGTGGGCTATTCGAGAGCAAAGCAAAGATGAAGAAATGTTAATAAACAGCGTTGCAATCCAGGAAATAAAGTGGTCACAGAAGGAAGACACTTGACGTCATCCTATCTCTACCACAGTTCTGTGATGGAGGCACACAGGGCAGTTTCTGGGGTGGTGTTTTGCAATGACGGGATTAAGAAACTTCTGGTTAGCAGGGTGCCGGTGGTGGTGGTGGCATACACCTTTAGTCCCAGCACTCAGGAGGCGGAGACAGGAGGATCTCTAGGAGTTCGAGGCCAGCCTCGTCTACAGAGTGGGTTCCAGGACAGCCAGAGCTACACGGAGAAACCCTGCTTCAAAGAAGCAAAATAAGTAAATAAATAAGAAACTCCTGGTTCTTCCAGGCTGCAATTCTGTTCTTTGGCTCTCCTAAAACAAAGCTAGGGAAAAAATATGAAATCCGACTCTGCAACTCTGATTTCTTGATTCCACATGGACGTTGTAATGGCTAATACTTGGAATGAAGGAGAATCTTGTTTCAAAGGCAAACACAAATTTCAGTTGTGCACACCCCCCTATAAAATCTCAGTGCCCCAGCTCTGTCAATACTTGTTAAAGGGCGCTCATCTTACTGAACCCCACTTTACACATCTGAGTTCCTCTGCTCTGTTATTCTACCCAGTTCCTATAGCCTTGATGTTTTTAGTTGTTTATTCTTAAAACAAAATAGGCCTTTATTTAAAAGGTACATATTTAAACTTGGCACTTCATCTTACATCAAAGGACAAATTAGACACCCTAGAAGAAGAACAAATTCGTGTGTAGAACAGGGAAGGTAGGTGCCAAGTTTTCTATGTTTGTGGGTACATCAGTGTGAGCTTTATGGTTAAATTCCTTAGGCTCCAGTTTGAGCTGAAGTCCAAAGTGGCCCAGCTCCCCAAAGACCTTAGGGCCTTATTTTGTTCTAGGAGACAATGCCATAGCAGTAACATGTTTGCCTGGTTACAAGAACTTCCACAGAGGCCAGCAAGGTCTAGCAGGCACTGAATTTGAAATAACCTAAGTGTCTCTGTAATTTGATTCTGAGCATTTTTATTTTACAAATCAAATGCATGTAGTAAATCTCTATTATGTGGATAAGAAGAAATATCTATTTGAGCTCCTTTTCAAAGTCCTGGAAAAATTACATTTGGGCCAAAAGTAAAATCATTGCTTTCAGGATACAAAGTCATTACTTAAAACTTACCAGCCAGTTACATTTTATTATAAACATGTGATATTACATCTTATTCATAGTGCTCTCATTTAATATCCAAAATACAATTTTATAAAGAAGGAACGCTATATGATATACGATTCCTTTAGATGATGGGAACACCATACAGTAAAATGAAGAATTTAGAAACTTTGGAGATGTGTTTGGGAGCTGGCTCTTTTAACTAAAAACCTTGAAACCTAACCAGGGCAACTGTAACTTCCTGTGTCAAGTATGGAAACTATGACACACGAAAAGCACTCCTATGAACTTTTACTGGAAAGGTCAAATATAATTGCACTCAGATATGTCATAGACAGGACTAGCCCCGTGCTAGATGCTCGATGCGTCTGAAGACGGCTAAAACTGGCGGCACTGGATTTACAAAACCGTGAAGGTGGGGGGGGGGGATGACTAGGTGAGGATCTTGGAGAACAAAAGTGTCGGAGAACAATGAAGAGAAACAGAGAACAGGTTCTGCAGTGGAGGTAAAGGAAGCTACAAGCAGCTCATGGAAGTCAAGTGTGGAAGGCGGGAGCCAAAGTGAATCCCAGTGAGGACTTTGAGGCATCTGTAAGGCTCCAGGTACAAATGAATACACTGGCCTTTGTAAAAGGGGATGGGTACCTGTGTGATCCTGAATGGAAACCTCTCTTCATAGAGGTTCCATGCCTGTCTCTGAAACAGAGATGGGTTTAAGTCATTCCTCCCACCTAGCCACTCTGTGTTGGTTTATTTCACACAGCTTTTTTTAGGAGGACACAGAGGGAGTTTCCGATCCTAAAGTTAGAACAGGCAGTTGAGGGTCAACAGCTCTGGGGACTATCATGTGTGATGCTATTGCTGACTCCTTTCCCTTCTTGGAAGACTTTGAAAAGAAGTGTCTCATGACAATGTTAAGCCTCTCCAACAGGGTGGGTTTGTGTGCTGGCAGCCTATACAGTGTGAGAATAGCAACATCAACTGCAATTACAATTTATATTAATTTGGTATTAAATGTGAAGTTGGAGAAAAATGTCAAAGAACACAGCGCTCTGGAGGAATGACAGATCCATGGCATTTATTTTGCAAGTGGTCTGCGAACTTCAGGACTAGTAATAGACAGACATTGTAGAAGTCGTTCCTGAACTCCACAAGGAATAGCCAGGAAGCTAAAGGAAAGAGATGAAGATAAGAATCGTCTGCTTTGCCGGGCGGTGGTGACCCACGCCTTTAATCCCAGCACTCGGGAGGCAGAGGCAGGCGGATCTCTGTGAGTTCGAGGCCGGGCTGGACCAACAGCCTCCAAAACAATACAGAGAAACCCTATCTCATAAAACCAAAAAAAAAAAAAAAAAAAAAAAAGAATCGTCTGCTTTGACATTGGAAACACAACACAGACAAAAGTATTCACACCGAGGCTGTCTCCACTGTCTCCATTTCACCTCTCTCTCTACAGTCACTAGTAACTCTGAAATTTTATGATTTCTCAGACTTCCTACTAGATCTTTAACTATAAACAAGAGCAAGATAAACAGGCCCACGTCTTACTGAACTCATTGCCAGGTTCCTTCTCTCCATTTTTCTGGCCTCCCTGCTTTGTTATTGGCTATCATTCCTTCTTGTCATTTTCATGTGTGTGTTACCTGTGAACTGGGCACGGTATCACACAGTCAGACCAACCCACAAAGGTGGGATAGGGCTCTTTCAAATTGAAGTGAGTATTCATACTGCACACATTTGAAAAAGCAAGGGTTCTGGGGGGTAGGCCGGAGAAGGGGAGGGTGGGGAACTATGGTTGGTATGTAAAATGAATAAAGAAAAATAAAATAAATAAATGAGGGAAAGCAAGAAAGAAAGGAAGAAAGAAAAGAAAAGAAAAGAAAAGAAAAGAAAAGAAAAAGCAGGGGTTCTGATAATCAGGATGGATTTACATGATAGCATTCCCCATCAAAAGGGTGGTATGCCCTGTATTTACTCATCTGCTAAAAGTTCCTAGAGAAGGCAGTGTCTTTGTGAGGAGGCAGGATCAGCAGAGGTGTGACCTCACTGGAGCTAAGAGAGGTGATGAGAAACAGCGGTTCCAAGGGACAATGCCTCCTTGTCTTGAAATAGTGGGGAACTGAACCTTCAGTACCATCTTTGTGTGTGTGTGTTTGTGTGTTGGATGAGGGAGCTGATGTTTGCTTTATACCTGATAATTAGAACAGAAAATCCCCCACAGAGAGGCAGGGAATGTATGTTTGGGAAGATGGTGGAGCACCTCTTAAGTGGAAACCAGTTAAGGGCATTAAGAACAAGGAAGGATCTGGGCTGGAGAGATGGCTCAGGGGTTAAGAGCACTGGCTGTTCTTCCAGAGGTTCTGAGTTTAATTCATAGCAACCACATGGTGGTTCACAACCATCTATAGTGAGATCTGGTGCCCTCTTCTGGCATGTTTTATTTATTTTATACTTAATAATAAATAAATAAAATCTAAAAAAAAAAAAAAAAGAACAAGGAAGTTCGAGAAGCCAAGCCCTGCAGATGAAGGCAATCAGGAAGAGAAAGAGATCTAAAGCAGGCAGCCTTGAACTGCAGGTCTTCCTGAAGTCAACTGATGACAAACTAGAGTAACTGGTTAAAGTTTATGCCAGAGTTTGATGTCTAAAACAAATGTTTCACATCTGAAACAATTTTAGATGATAACAAATTCCAGGGTGTGCCTTCCACGGAAGTGAGTAGAAGGAAAGGGGCATGAAACGACATCATCAGCAGTGACTCAGAAAAGGGAAAAAATGTGGAAATCGTCAAACATGGACATGACGTCACTCTGAAAACATAAGTGGACAGTGGGTAAAAGCGAATGCTGTGGGAGTGCCACATTCTTCAGTGAATAGCAGTGGTACGGGAGTCTGTCACTGACCGCAATCAAAAGTTGGGCAACATTAATGCTTAATGTAACTCTTTCTAGAAGAGCAAGAAATGTTTTAATGAGAGGGTGGAGGGGGGATGATTTTAAATTTATGTGAAACAAGCATTAAGTTTTTATGTACTAATGGAAACCACAGAATTAGTGAAGCTGGGCTATTCTTATTTTTTAATAAAATTTTAAATGGAAGATGAGTTTGCATTTTATAAAAATGGTAGCTATATTTTTCTCTCTCTTTACATGTTTTCCTTAAGCCATGCTTTCTGCCCTTGAGTTTCTATGAGTTTTAGGCTTTTGATTATCCTATGTGTCTGCATAGCTATATAATACATTTACTATCATGATACATCATATACAACACCCAGATCTTGTGACTCATAGTTCCTAGGAAAAAACCGAGACATTTAATCACTGATTTAAAGCTATATGAGTGATGGTAATTAACCCAGATACTCACAACTGGACAAAGTGCAGAGGGTGAGCGACCTTGGAGCACTTAGCCTTAAATGAGCCGCCTTTATCACATGCTGCACTCAAGGCTCAAGGATCTAAGCAGAGGAGGAAGCAGGAAGATTGTAAAAGCCAAGTTGGTGATGACTCCAAGGAAACAGCATTCTCTAGACACAACAGGACTGATACACATATGAACTCATAGAAACCGTGGCAGCATGCACAGCCTATACAGGTTTAAACCAGACAATATTCCAGCACTGAGAAGGTGAAGTGGTCATACAGCCCTACCTCTAACCAAGAAGTAATCTATTTCCAATTGATACCTGGTAGGAGAGGGAAAATCACTTCTCTTCAATGGAGTGACATTGAGTATACCAACCACAGTCCAGGGCAGGCCCCATGCTCAGCAGTAGTTGTCCAACCCAAAAGGGACTACATGTTTTGGGGTGCATGGAGTTGGGTACATAGGGATGGGGGAGGCTTAGGAGCAGTTAAGGGAGGGGAAAGTATGGTAAAAATGGTGTATTAAATACGGAAAAAGTAAAGCTCTGTGGTTTTTTATTTTATGATTTTATTATTATAGAGCCATGAGTACAAATCCCTAAAGTCAAGACTGGTAATGAAAGGACATCAAATTAAGCTAAATCTCTATCTATCTAGCTTGTTATCCATTCATTCTTGTGTTTATTGAGCATATCTTGTATGCCAGACATTGCATTAGCTGTACAGATTAAAAAGATTAGTCTTTAATCTTTGTTCTTGAAAGGCTATGGTCTGATGACAAAATCAAGTACATACCATTGTTGAATGCTGTAATAGAACACTGCCCATTGTATGGAAGTCACAGAAGGTGTCATTGTTAGTTTTAGTCAACTTGGCACAAACCAAACGTATCTGGGAACAGAGAATTTAAACTGATAAATGGCCTCCATCATATTGGTCTGTGGGCATAAACGTGTGGGCTCTGCCGCGCCAGCCTGGTTCTAGATCCGCATGAGTCCCAAATAAACACACAGGAGGCTGTATTAATTATGAAGCTGTTGGCCTTGTTTGTCTCTTACTGGCTAGCTCTGCCTTAAGTATTACCCCATAATTGTTAATCTAAGTATGTCTCTTACCGGAGAATAGTTCCAGGCTTCCTACCCCCAATGGCGTTACATGTTGACTCTCTTGTGTTTCTCCTACCCAGAATCCTCCTGGATTCCTAGCCCCACCTATCTAGATTCCTATTGGCCAGACAGTGCTTTATTAGCATAAGACTTCCCCAACATCTCCTCTTTTCTGTTTAAACAAAAAGAAAGGTCTTAACTTTAACACAGTCAAATTGTATATAACAGAACAGTTATCTAAGAATATAGTTACAATATTTTAGCAAGATTTAAAGAAAATATCATCCATACCATCCTTGTGAGTTCAAAGTTCTATATGTAACTTATCTTTTATCATAATTAAGGAAAACTATAATTATAACTATCTGTCTTCAACTCCATCAAAGACCACAGAAGGATAATATATAAACACTAGGATTGACAGAGATATCTTACTGCCTGGACAGTCACCCGAAGTTCCTCTGTAACGTTGGGGCATCCATCTTCAGCCCATAGGCCACAATGTGTCTGGAACACTTCTCAGCAAAGCAGGAAATTTTAAACTGTCCATCTGCATTGGCAGTCTGTCAGTCATTTTTCTTTGTCCTGCAGAAAGTCTCGTAGACTCTTCATCAAGCAGGAACCCTGTAAGACTGAGTTCAGTAGTCACTTTCCTGTGGGTCCTGCATGTCCAGATGATACAACAACAGTCAAACAATCTAGGCAAGAGCAGTTTCTTGCCCAAATGTCTAATCTTGCCATGTTGAAAGCAAACTTTATAACGAGTTTCTTCGATGCCCATCTTCCTCTCAGACGTAATTGGTGCTGCCAGGAGCAGACATTTCTCATTGTCAAGAAAAACCCTAAACCATTTTAAATGCCATGTTCTGAAGGTCTTTGAGAGGTTTGAAGACTGTCCATCTATCTCAAATATATTTCTGTATATCTAGAACACCTAACTTACCTAACAATAAATTCTATTATAAGTAACTATCTATAGTCTGTATTCAATTATGCATTACATTTTAAAAGATCAGTATAAGCACAATACTTAATCAAGAGGAGAAATATAAGCATCACAAAATTGACCTTGACAGGAGGATTCTGGGAAGGAGAAACACGAGAGTCAACATGTAACCACCATGGGGGTAGGAGCCCAGAACTATTCTCCGGTAAGAGACATACTTAGATTAACAATTATGGGGTAATTACTTAAAGCAGAGCTAGCCAGTAAGAGACAAGCAAGGCCAACAGCTTCATAATGAATATAGCCTCTTATGTGTTTATTTGGGATTGAAGCAGCTCTGGAACCAGGCTGACGGGAAGGCTCCTCTCAAGGAAAGCTTCTCTTAACAAGAAAAGCAAAGCTGCTGGACACTAGCTCTTACCTCTACCTCAGACTGAAAGACAATCCTGGCTCCACCAAACCTCAGACTACAATCCCAGACCTCTATGCTCTCCTCAATGTGGCTGGAGAATCCTGAGATTGAATGCTGAAGACCCTGCTCCTATCTTTTATATCTTTCTAGTGCCGGGATTAAAGGTGTGAGCTCTGTTACTCTTTTATATTGTGTAGCCCTGGGCGGCCTTGAACTAACAGAAATCCATCTACCTCTTAAACCTGAATCCTGGGATTAAAGGTGTTTATCACCACTGCCTGATCTCTATAGCGTAGGGCTGACTTTACTTTCTGAATCCTCAGTCAAGCTTTAATAAATCATAAATAATATATCACCACAATCAACAAGTATATATTCTTCTTAGAAGCCCACGCTAATCAGGCTGTTGCCAAGACAATGGCTCGCTCTCCCCAAACTGACAGAAAGGCCCATTGCCTAAGACAACACCCACACAACTCATTGAACATGGAGAGGGTAAGCTGGTACCCACATAGAACCTTCACCCCTACATTTTAGTGCTTTGGTATGGGAAGGCATTCTGAAGGCTACCAAAAGAGAAACATTAATAGCAACCCAGCTACAAAACCTTTGATCTGCAGTGTATTCTGCCTGCAAAGCGTGCTACGACAATGGAGGCACAAAGCTCATGGGAGTAACCAACCAATATCTGATTTGATGGAACCCATATCTGACACTGCTTGGGTGACCAAGAACCAGAGACTAGAGAGCCCAATGGCCCATGGTAAAACCAAACACTACTGGTCAATAAAAGGGGAGGCAATAAAAAAAAGACTCATAATGATATTCTGCTAACATTCGTAGATCAGTGTCTTATTCAGTCATCATCAGAGAAGCTTCCTCTGGAAGCAAATGGGAACAGAAGCAGAGACCCACAGCCTGACACTATGTGGTGAGAGAGTCTAAATGTCTTAATCAAATCCCTCCCCTCAGAGCTCAGGGAACCCCGTGGCAGAGGAGGCAAAAAGAGTGTAAGAGCCAGTGGGTATGGAGGACACCAATAGAATAAGGACCTCTAAATCAACCAGGCAAAGCTGACAGGAACTCACAGAGACTGAAACAATAAGAAAAGGGCCTGCGTGGGTCTGCACCGGGTCCTCTGTGTATATATTAACATTTTCAGTTTAGTATTTTTATGGGACTCCTGAGTGTGTGAACGAGTCTCTAATTCTTACAACTCTCTTGGGGCTCTTTTTTCTTCTGCTGGTTTGCCTTGCCAAACTTGGATTTTGTTTTATCTTATTATATTTTATTTTGTCCTATTTGGTTTGCTATCTCTTAGATAGCAAAGACAGAAAAGGGAGTGGATCTGGATGGGAGGAGAGGTGGGGAGGAACTGGGAAGAGTTGAGGGAGGGGGAACTGTAGTCAGGTTACACTGTATGGGAAAAGAATCTATTTTTTTTTTTTTTGGTTTTTCGAGACAGGGTTTCTCTGTGGCTTTGGAGGCTGTCCTGGAACTCGCTTGGTAGACCAGGCTGGTCTCGAACTCACAGTGATCCGCCTGCCTCTGCCTCCCGAATGCTGGGATTAAAGGCGTGCGCCACCAACGCCCAGCTTAAGAATCTATTTTTAATAAAAGGGGAGAAAGAATATGAAATGATGTTCAGTCAGTAAGGAAAGTATTTCAAAGAAATAGATTTTACTGTTTCTCATACTATTTCACCAAATCACACAAACTGTGGTTAACATATATTGAGTTAGATAACTCATCTTTTATTTTAGTTAGCAAAAGGTGAGCATAATGGCTGCTTTCTAAGTCACTTTTTTTATTTTATGAATGAGATCAGTTATTCTTACTTGGAGTGTTGGCTGCCCTAATTTTACCTTTCCAATCTGAGATAATAAAGTTAAAGTATACATTCAAAAACAAAAAAATAAAAAAAGAGAAGTCCATGTAAAATAGAGCATTTACTCAAACACAAAGCAAATCTCAAAGAATGAAAAAATAATAAAATAACTGTGTATTTTATCTGACCACAATGCAATAAAGCCTAAAATAAACAGAAAAGAATTTCTAGGAATTATATGAACTTGCAGAGATTAAACAGAAGACAACTGAGTGGTGAATTAGTCCAAGAAGAAATCAAGATGGATATAAACATCCCTGGAAATAAAGGAAGATGAAGACACAACATACCAAAATCTCTGGGAAACATTAATAGCAGTCATGAGACAGACTTTATAGCTCTAAGTGCACACATTAAAACATTAGGAAGAATATAAATAAGTGACTTAATGATGCAGCTAAAGCACTTAGGAGCAGAACAACAAATCAAACCAAAGTCCAGGAGATGGGAAGAAATCATAAAAGCCAGGGTAGAAATTAATGAAACAGAAGCAAGCAAACAGTATAAAGAATAAACAAATCCGATGGTCTTTTGAAAAGATATCCAAGTTCAGCAGGCTCTCAGCTGAGTTAACCCAAAGAAAGAAAGAAAGGAAGGGAGTAATCAGAAATGAAAAGGGTAACCCTGCAATAGACACCAAAGAAATTCAGAATGTCTTAATGGGATATTTTTTAAACCTACAGTCCATTACGTTAGAAAACCTAAAAGAAATGGGTGAATTTCCAGATTCATTGAGTCACCAAAGTTCAACCATGAAGAGATCACTGACCTAAACACACCTGAAGCAACAATAACAACAAAGACTGAAACAGTAATAACAAGCCTTCTTACTAAAATGATCAAGGCCCACATGGATTCACAGTAGAATCCTACCAGACTTTCAAAGAACTACAAGCAACATTTCTAAAATTATTTAAAAATAAGGAAAAAGAAACAGAAGGAGCATTTCCATTGTCATTCTACGAAGCCACCATTACTCTAATACAAAAATATAGGTAAAATATAACACAAGAAAACTATAGGCCAACATCCCTGATACATATAGATGCAAAAATTCTCAGTGAAATATTTGCTAACTAAATATGGATACATGTAGAGAAGTCATGAACAAATAGGCTTTAGGCATAAATGTAGCGATGGTCCACTATATACTAGTCAATAAATATAACACATAAGTGGACTTAAAGGCAAAAACCACATGATTGTTTCAATAGATCCGTAAAAGGTCTTTGACAAAAATCCAACATTTCTTCATGATAAAAAGTCCTATAAAGAGTGAGGTTAGAGGAAAACAACATAATAAAGGATATATATGACAAGGCCACAGCCAACATCATCCCAAGTGGAGAAAAAGTTCAAAGCAATCCCATTAAAATCAAGAATGAGACAGGGGCTCTTCAATATCCCCACATCTTTTCAACATAGTGTTTGAAGCCCTAGGTAGAATAATAGGGCAAGAGAAAGAAATGAAAGGAACCCATGTATGAAAATTTAAAATTATTCCTATTTGAAGATGATATGGTATTATATTTAAGATGACCCGGAAAAATTTACCATAAAATTCCTAGAAATGATCAACTTTCAGAAAAGTGGCAGGATACAAAATTAACTCATAAAAATCTTTCTGTAAACCAATAAAAAATAGGCTGAGAAACACCCCTCTTTTACAGTTAATCCTTAGTAAAGGTAAAGTATCTGGAATATACCTGACTAAAGATGTGAAAGACCTCCACAGTGAAAACTTCAACTCTCCAAAGACAGAAATCAAGGCAGACACTGGAAAATAGAAAGAACTTCCAAGTTCATGGACA